AAAAAACCGGGCAAAAAAACTCCATTTCCCAGCCCAAATTCGCCCCCCGGGTGCGTTTTTATTGCGGTGATAAACGGGGGGGGGGGGTTAAAAAAATTGTGTCTTTATTTTTATTTCTTTTTTATTATTATTATTTTTATTTTTTTTCTTTTTATTTTTTTCTTTTTGTTTTAGTGTTTTGGGGTTTTTTTCCCTTTAGTTCTCTCTCCCGCGCTCCGCTGAAAAAACCCGCTTTTTGTGGCCTTAATTAAGTGGGGTTTAATTATTCCTCCTCTTCCTCTTTCCCCTTCCTCCCTCGGCCGCTCCTTCCTCCTCCTCCTCCTCCCGATCCCGCTCGGGGCTCGGAGCCGCCGCTTTTTGATTTTTTACCCCGAATTTTCGGGCTCTGGAGGGGCCGCGGGCGCTTCGGGAGCCGCGCTCGGTTTTTCCCCTTTTGGAGAAAAAAAAACGCGGCGGGGGCCGGGACAGAGAAATTTGGGGAATTTCCCCAAAATCTTCCCCCGGCCGCAGCCCTCGGAGCAGCTCGGATTCTCACCCAGAGACAGAAATCCCGGTTTTTGGTTTTCCTCTGTTTTTGTTGCATCTTTTGGGTTTATTTTTAAATTCCGGGTGTTTTTTTTTTAACCCGCGGCTTCGCCTCCCCTTCCCCTGCCCCGCAGCTTTTTTTAATTATCCGCTCTCATTCCCGAACTCTCTGGAATTTGTGGGATAAAACGGAGTCGGGGGGAAGGGGGATAAAAATCCCGGTGGAGAAAGGGGGAAAAAAAGCTGGGATTTGGGCAAAAATGAAGAATTTGGAGGGCGCTGCGCTGGTTCCGCTCCCGCTTTTTCTCCGGGAATTCTCCGCTCCAGCCCAAACCACGAAAAAAAAAATTCAATTTAAAGCGAAACTCTCCGGATTCGGGCGGATTTTAATTTAATTTAATTTTCATTCTTTCCCCTGCATTTTTTAAATTGAATTTCCATTCTTTTCCCTCGGCGAATTGCGCAGTAAAGTTAATTTTTTTTTTTTCCTCCCCGATTTTTTCCTTTCTCCTCTTTTTCCGCAGCGATTCCCATCGAGGGCTCCTCAAATTGGGAATTTTTTTGGGGGGAGAATTTTAAATCTCCCAGCGAAAATTTCATGCTCAAAACCGCCGGAATTGGATTTTTTTTTTTTCGCCGTCGCCTCCGACTTTATTTCATTTATTTTTCCTAAATCGCGCCGGAATTGGGATCGAGGGTTTTTTTGGGAATTTGGGGATTGGGACAATGGGGGATAAATGGGGGAAAAAAATGGGAAATGGGGCGGGAATTTCAAGATCATTGTGGGGGAGAAAGAGCCGGGTTCAGAGTCACCTTCAAGGGAAACTGAGAGAAAAACTTCATTAAAAAAAAACCAAAACAAACCAAAATCAACAACAAAAAGCGCGGGAGAACGGGAAAAAAAAGGGGGGAAAATAAAAAAAAAAGTGAAGAAAGGGCAAAGGGTTAAAAAAAAAAAAAATAAGAAACGGAGGGAAAGAAAAAAAAGTGAAAAAATCGCGGGGAAAGGGGGAAAAAAAAAAAAAGCAAAGTGGAACTTGACCGTTTGGGGCGATTTGTGACGGATCAGGGCAAAGCCTGGATTTGAGACATTCCCACGTCTCCAGAGCTCCTTTCCCAAAGATTTTCCCGAGTTTTCCCAAGGATTTCCCGGAGCTGGGGCTGTGAAATCCCCCCCGAGCCCCGAAAACCGAGAAATTCCCGATTTTTCAGGCCCAAAAGCGCCGATCCCAAACCCAGGCCCGCTTTCCCGGGATTCCGGCGCCGTTTGGTTCCCTCGGAAAGGGGCAGGGAAAAAAATAAAAATGCGATTTTATGGCCTCAATTTGTGGGATCCGCGCAGGATTTTGGGAAGGGCTTTGATAGGAATCGTTGGTTTTTATGGGATCCGGGCAGAATTCCGCCTGGGATTTATCAGCGCGGGATAAAAGTTGAGTGTGGGAGCCGAAATTTCCTCATTTATGGGCGCTGAAACCAAAGCCCAGCGCCGGATTTTCATTTTATTCCGGTTTTTTTTTTTTTTTTTCTCCCCCGTCCCATTTAATTTTTTAATTTTTTTAAATTAAATAAAATAAAATTTTTAAAATTTTTTTCCCCTTTTTAATTTATTTTATTTTTATTTTTTAATTTAATTTTTATTTTTTAATTTTTTAATTTCCTTTTTTCTTTCTTTTTTCCCCATTTTATTGCAATTTTTTTCCGCCTTCCCCCCCCACTGGTTTGGTTTTTATTTTGATTTTTTTTCCCCTCGTTTTTGGCAAAATATTGGCGCATTTTTGGGATTTTCCCCGCTTTGTCTGCCTGGGCATTAAATCAAATTTTTCCCCAATTTTTTCACCCTTTTTCCCGGAGTTTTTCCCGATTTTTTCACCCTCTCGTCCCGGTTTGACGGAAATATAAAAAAAACCGCCCGGAGCCATTGAAATAATTTGAATTTTCTCCTCCATGCAGGAGAAACTCCCACAAAAAAATGAGTGAAAAAATGGGGGGGGGAAAGTGCTGAAAACCTCATTTTTAATTAAAAATCCGGATTTCCCGGGAATTTTGGGGCGTTTTTTGCCATTTTTGAGCTCCCGGGGTGGAATTTGAAAGGTTTTGAGGCCCCGATCGGCGCCGCGGGGGCCGAGAAGCGACGAATAAATAAAAATAAAATCAAATTATTCCTAAATCAGGAGCCTCGGGATCCCAAATTTAATTTTTTTTTTTTTTTAGGGGGAAAAAGGGAGAGGGAATTGCGGATAAAGTCGAGAATAATTAAAAACTCCAATTAAAAACTCATTAATGAGCGAGAGGAATAAAATTCATCAGCCTCAACGGGACCCCCGTGGGGAAAAGGGGAAAAAAAAAAGGAATTCCCGGGAA